TTGTGTAGTGATTCCTCCCCATCCCACTGTATGTTAATATGACTAAGAAAAGTTTCAATGTAAAAGGGAAGGGGAACAATAAAACATTATCAAATAAACCATTATGCCTCAGGAAAAATATCTGAGTAAGAGGTTATCTGCAATTGCCAGTAGAAAAAAAAAAACTCTGATAAATATGTGGAGAATAAGAGTCCCTCGGGTGTGTGTGTGTGTGTGTGTGTGTGTGTGTGTGTGTTTATATCATCTTATACAAGGAGATAAACATAGCTTTATAGCACCTTATAACTGGATTAAATGACAAGAAAATGAAAAAGAAAAGAAAACCTCAAATCTCCCCAGAGGCAGCCTGCCAGCCAGAAAATGTCAAAAGATGGCCACCACTGTCACCTCACATAACAACAGAAAACTGTATCTTTCTTTTATGAATAGACCTGTAGTAATGGAAGTGGGTTAGAATTATAGTCAAGAAATTGCTGGAAAATCTTCAGCAAAATTGCTGGAAAGTTGCAGGAAAATCTTCATAAAGATTTGCTACCATTTTCACTTGCATGAACAAAAAAAAAAGAGAGAGAGGGAGAAAATTGCTTAAAGGAAAAAAACAACATGATTCTATGGAACAAGACTTACAATGATTTAAGACTGGCGGAAAACTTTCAGACATCAATATGTGACTGTTCAGTATCAGTGATGCCAATTTGTAGATGTTTTGCCAAACTGCTGCCAGTAATCACTGAGGAATTACAGAAAATGGGAGACGGTAGTGTCATCCAGGGCTCGCAGTGGGAGACAGAAACATTTTCAGCAAGCAGAGATTTAATACAGTAAATTGGTGCCTGTAAAATCATTGCAAGTCCTGGAGAAGTGGGCTTTAGTCTGTCTTTCCCAAAGGACTCCCAGGCACTGGATAGCTAAGACATCAGGGAAGACCCCACCTCTGAATATTCTAGAACCACTGAGTTTCCAGAACATATGATCGTAACTGACTTTAGAGAATCCTTAAGCTGGAACTGTTCATCTATCATTGCTTCTGTCACTGATCCATATTGCTGGGGTCCAGGAACTGCAACTTTGTTTCTTGCCTGCTGCCTCTGCCTTAACTTCTCTTCTCAGCCTGAAATCTGGAGAATGACACAAATTACTTCTTTGGAAGAAAACCTCACATCTCCTCCAGAGTCACCCTGCCAGCCAGAAATGACAGAAGATGACCACCACCCTCACCTCTGCTTTATAAACCTCTCATGGAGCATCTTCAGGAACTTGTTGGAATCCAGAGTGCTAGCTGGTTTATATAATCTGGAGATTTCTACATTTAACTCTGAAGTCTCTTTAATACTTCAGAGGGAAGAAAGAGGTTGTAAAAGAAGTCTGCTGAGCATGACATGGATCAGAAATGATACCTTCTTACCCTTTAAGAAAAAAATACAGTCATCAGTGGGAATAAAGATTCCAACAAATTATATAGAAAAAATTATACCTGATTGCTTTTTAAAGTGGGAAGTCAAAGAATTGTGTGGTCCTCATGAATCTATATTTTAACAAGGATTTCTACCCAATCTTTATGATATTATAGGGCAAAATTGACAAATGTGATCAAGATGGTGGAGCAGTTGAATGGATTTGTAATTAGTAGAAAGACCAGAAATTGCTAATTAGTAGATGTATGTCTAATTGTCACATACTCTGTAGGAATTTGTACTTTATTCTGCCCTGTATTATGTAATAAATACAATACAGACAATGATTTTAAAAACAGCATTAGTCATTTACTGAGTGAGCATTATAAATAGGTAACTCATTTACTCTTGACAACAGTCTTGTCAGGCTACTCTTATCTCCATTTTAAATGTGAGGAAACTGATGTCAAAAACATAAATAACTTTTCATAACTATATCTAGAAAGAAGCAGAACTGAGATTCATACCTAAAATTGCTGCAAAGTAGAGGTAGCAGAGGAAGGGAGAACGCCAGAACATTTCTCAGAGGAACTAGGAACCTGCCAGCCAGGAAATCTCAGAGGGTAGCATTTCCTTAGTTAGTCTCTATGAGGCAGGGGGTTGGTTGGTCCACTGTCTTGCAGGACCAGGTCAGTATCTCAGGGACTTGAACCCACATTGATAAGCCTCACATTATAAAACCAGATATTGATTTATTAAATTAAAATAAATATGACAGCCAAGCTGACCAAATAGGGGCAATATTTATGCATGCAGCCCTCTCAAGGAGAGTCTGTTTAATAGAATGTTGAATGATGGGGGTAGAATCAACCCAAGGAGACCCTGATCAGAATGCTAATTGTCTGTTGTCTCTGACAATTGCAATAAGAATGCATCCATCTTCTTGGATCACTGGATCGACTGTTTAAGCATTGCCATAGTTGTCTGACTTCCGACTCCTTTATATGCCTTCATAGCTGTCATTCTTTTTTTTTTAAATTAAGATATAATAATGATTTTAACTGTGTTGTTTTGGGCATAAGATTCAGTCTTTCTCTTTAATATGACTGATCAATTTTCTGCTGATAGCAATTACTTAACTTTGGGAAGTAGTATATTTTTAAGTCTTCTGTTGTTGTGCATCCTGTATAAGATGCATATCCACATGATTTTTTCCTTTGCCTGTGCTGCCATTGGTAGATTAAAAAGAACTGCAAATTGGTGCAGCCAATATGGAAAGCAGTATGGAGATTTCTTGGAAAATTGGGAATGGAACAACCATTTGACCCAGCTATCCCTCTCCTCAGTCTATACCCAAAGGATTTAAAAAACAGCATGCAACAGGGACACAGCCACATCAATGTTTATAGCAGCACAATTCACAATAGCTAAACTGTGGAACCAACCTAGATGCCCTTCAGTAGATGAATGGATTAACAAAATGTGGCGTATATACATAATGGAATATTACTCAGCAATAAAAGAGAATAAAATCATGGCATTTGCAGGTAAATGGATGGAATTAGAGAAGATAATGCTAAGTGAAGTTAGCCAATCCCCCCAAACCAAATGCCAAATGTTTTCTCTGATATGAGGCTGATTCATAGTGGGATAGGGAGCCAAAGCATGGGAGGAATAGATGAACTCTAGATAGGGCAGATGGGTTGGAAGGGAAAAAGGGGGCATGAGGTTACAAATGATAGTGGAATGTGATGGACATTATTATCCAAAATACAGGTATGAAGACACGAATTGGTATGAATATACTTTGTATACAATCAGAGATATGAAAAATTGTGCTCTATATGTGTAATAAGAATTGTAATGCATTCTGCTGTCATATATGAATAAAAAATTAATAAAAAACACGAGTGTTAAAACTAAAGGACTAGGGGTGACAATATGCAGTAGCAGCACAAGTTTTTAAAAAGATGATATTTTTTAGTGAATGTAGACTCACTGTGAGTCAATAATTTGTGATGTTATTCTCAAGGAAGCCACAACAGACCGGTACATTAACTATGTCAGAACGGAACTGATGAATGAGTGAGGATATGAAAGTATGGAGGATTTGATAATTCTACCCTAATCTTCAGTAATACTGCATGCCTATAGCAACCATGTTTTATTTAGTTCATAGTCCACATTTTAGGATAATATTGACAGACTGGAATATATTCAAAAGAAACTGACCAGATGGTGATAGAACTGGAAACCACATTCTAACAAGTGGTGATCGGAAATCATCATGTTTAGATTAATAAGAAAAAGACTTGGGAAAATAATAAAGCTAAGACTTATGAACTGCTCACTTCATGATAAACATAGTGCTCAGCCCTTTAATAGATTTCAAACATTAAGGTCTATCACACTAAAAAGGGAATGCTCATTTTGAGTTGCACTAGAATGCAAAGGAAACCAGAGAGATTCATCTCTGCTTATTAGAATGATGGCATTTCTATTCTCAAAGTTGTCCAACAACTAAGTGAGATGACTTGGTACTAATGAGTTTTGTTTTTGAAAGTTTACAAGCAGAGACAGATCCAACTTTTGTTGGAGATATTTAATAGAGAAATGAATATTTAATGGTTGCCTGGACCAGATGAACTCCAAGATTTTGTTCAACCTTATCCTGTGGGTCTGTCATTATCTCATAGTACAGTAGTACCTCCACTTTTGTCTTTTAGTTCAGTAGCGTAAGCTCTAAATGGTAATGTTATTTCTAATTCAACAGGTCAGTTGTAGGGGATCCTGATTTCTGCCACAAAGACAAACCCCAGCAAAATTTAAAGTTGCAGGGATGGAAAACAAACATTTTGTGAATGCGTTATTAGGAATAGTTGCAGGAAGAGCCTCTTTCTCTTTCTCATTTGACCTTCAGACCTATGTATTCTTAGTATGAAAGAAACATTTGTTTACATCGCTAAGTGATGATTTATTTCATTGAGTGTTTTATTTGTGGTTCTGAAACCTCTTCTGATTGCATATCTTATTTTGAGCTTTGTTATTTTTAACAAGTGCACTTTGATCATTAACCAACCCATGCTTTCATGACAACTAGTGTTATACCTTAAAAACTCATTCCTATGACTGGGAAAAGAATGAATGTTTGATTATTTTAAATAATAACCAAAGAACCTATGGGACTTTATAGCAAGAATATACCTAAATGTAATATGTTAATGAGACATTCAAGCTGAGAAAGATGAAATAACTTGCCATGGTCACATGGCCGATGGGAAATGTAAACAATTTTACTACTTTTCCTCTCATTCCTAACTCATCGATGCAATTATATAATGTATTTTTCCAAGATACTATGCTTCCTTCTCCTCTTCATCTTCTTCCTCTTCCTCCTCCTCCTCTTTGTTTTCTATTTTTCCTCCTCCTCCTCCTTAATTTTCTAACAGTCACTCTTATCTTTATGAGTCTGATTAGCATGTGATCTGAGAAGATGGTATCTGAGTAGAATTCCAAAGTGTTATTCTTTTTACCCATACCCTTATTTAGGTAGAAATGCTAAGGCTCTTTTGTTCCTAATTTTGGATTGCTCTTGAATCTCTGCAGTGCTGCATATGATGCTGTCCTTGACAGAAATGTGGCCATTAAGAAGCTCAGCCGGCCATTTCAGAACCAAACACATGCCAAGAGAGCTTACCGGGAGCTGGTCCTCATGAAGTGTGTGAACCATAAAAATGTGAGTTTCCTAATTATTTTCAAACTATCAGTGATAGGAAACTGTGATATTGGGGAAGAAAATAAGAACCAACTTGAGTAGGAAAGGCCTTCTTTACTTTCCAGTTTCTGCCTCTTAGAATTGTTTATCTCAACCATATGCTACACTTGATTTTGTTATCCTCGTGGTAGCTTCCTGCTTAAAATATCACCTAAAAGCCATATGGCAAGGAGGAGATGAACTTGATAGATATGTCCCTGTTATAAAATTAACCTTATTTGGTTATCTTGCTTCTAATTAACCAGAAAGCTTCGTATTTTCCAAAAAGTAAAACAAAATGCCAAAACAAACAAAAACACACCCCAAAGCCTACAGAAGGATAAACTAAATTTCTTTATATTTAAATTTAATTATTAACCGCTGAAGTTTTACTAGTTGTGTTTTCTCCTTTGTGTTTTAGCTATAGCTTCGCAGTGGCCTCTTTAGTGTACACACTGTATGTTGGCATCTTGTTTTCTTAGGGTTGGGCAAACAGGCTTGTACATATTTCCAAAGTACTTTGGAATGGGATTGTCAAGAACATGTTCTCTTGGGGCTGGGATTGTGGCTCAGTGGTAGAGCGCTCCCCTAGCACGGGCTGGACCCCGGTTCGATTCTCAACACCACATAAAAATAGGCATTGTGTTATGTCCATCTACAAAAAAGATTAATTCTCTCTCTCTCTCTCTTTAAAAAAATAACATACCCCCCCCCAAAAAAAAAAACATGTTCTCATTGGAATTCATCAGGGTAGACCAAAAATAGGATTGTTTTCCTCAGTGTCTAAGCTTCTTCAATTCCAGGAGAAGGCCTATAGAACTTTTCCTGCTCCATTTTCTTCTTTGTAAGGAGAAATAATTCATTATTTTTATAGAGTATTCTTAATAATTTAATATAATACATTTACTAATCTTACTATATTAATTATAAGTATACAATTAAATAAATTATTAAAAATAAAATGATGATAGCTATCAAAACTCCCTACAAAGTTTTTAAATATAAAAATCATACAGAATATAAAATTATCAGTGTAGTTTATAAAGAAGGGTTCTTGTTATGTAGCTAACCATCTATTACTAGTGGTCCTAAGAATAAGCAAATGTTTGGCTAAAAGATGTTTAAAATACAATTAATGTAGACTCAGGCTCAATGACAGTGTTTCTCTTTTCCTCTGTTACTCCACTGCAGTGACTTTTAAGTCAGGTTATTTGTTTTCATGCTGTTGAGTTGTTTGAGACCAATGACATTTTAATTCGGTCATTTGCCATGTATTTGTTGAATGAACAAAATGTGCCAGACACAAATCTAGATGCTAAGAATATGTCAGGAAGCAAATGGAGATAAATCCTTCCCATGTGGGCTTAGATTCTACTAACGAGAGAAAGGCAGTCCACAAAATATATAAGTAAACCTGTGAATGTCAGAGGGTGACATTACTTAATTTAAGTAAAATAATGCAAAGAAGAAAGATAAAAATGTTGGTTAGTGCAGGGTGAGGTAGGGTTATTTTTTTTAAGTAGGTTGAACAGGGTAGTCCTCACTAAGAAAGAAAAATTTTATGAAATATGTGCTCATCATTGATATGGCCATTCGAGGAATATGAGACTTCTAGAAGGAATATATAAATGAAAGGAAAAAAGGATTCCTAAGGAAAACCACTATAGTAAAGTGATTTTTTTCTCTTAAGATGTTAAGTAAAGGTAGAGATAAGATTCACCACTTGGCAACGTATTTTATGGTAATAAAGAGTATGAAATGGAAGATGGAGGCATATAAGCAATGAAGAAACTATACAAAAAGTCTTGCATATGTGTATTTCTCTTTCCCTAGTTTTCCATCCAGATGGATGCAATACATTGTGGAGAAGTGCCCAATTACTTGGCCAATTTGAGGAAAATATACCCTGAATGTGTCCCTCAAAGGTTACATGGTAGAAGCTTAGTTTCCAGTGTGGGGATGTGAAAGGAGATGGGAATTTTAACAAGTGGGATCCAAAGGGATGTCTGTAGGTCCTTGGTGGATATACCTTCAGAATGAATTAAGGTAGTTCTCATGGGACCCTTTGCCTTTCACAAGACCAAGTTGTAAGAGTGAATCCAACCCCCAAATCACTCTCAGACTTCCTGTTTCAAGATGTGATATTTTCCTCCCACACATACCATCTGCCATGAGGTACTCTCTAGAGGTAAACAGATGCTGGCCTCAAGCTCTTGATGCTGCAGAATTATGAGCTAAAAAAAAAACTCTTCTCCTTATAAAGTTAGTCTGCCTCAGATATTTTTATAGTAACAAAAAACAGACTACTGCACAATGATAATTTGTAAATAGCATCCTACCTGCTCTTTATGTGTGTAAGTATATATGCATGCATGTATACCAAATTTCATTAATAGGAAATTCATTTATATCCAATGGTAAATTCTCAATTAGAACTTGTAATACTAAGGAAAAGGCAATTAGAATATAGAGCTTTTGTTAATGCTGTTGAAAGTAAAGGAAAAGCAATGAAGAAACTCTATTTGGTCTCTAATAGTAGTGAATAAAATTCATTTAGAAAACAAATATTCAATTTTAGGAAGTGAATTCTTGTGATTGTGGGACCATGGAAACTTTGATTCATATCTCTGCTTCCCAAGATGCTGAGATGAAAGAACTGAGTAAGAAACCTGTTGGAAACTGTAAACTAAAACAGAATACCTGTGATGATCACTTTATAAGAAAAAAATTTTTAAATTGGTTATTAGGGCGTATTAAAATTTATAAAGAAGTGATCATCTATAGAAATAACAGGCAGGAATATCTAATAGGGAAGTCAGAGTAGGCAAAGGTTATAAAACAAGGATATATGAAATGGGAAAGTAAGACGAGACAATAAGGAATAGACTTTGAAAATTGACTTTTTAAAATAATAAATCTTTGTTTATTTAAAATCACAATGCTATTTCTTAGACTAATTTAAATTAACTGTATTTTATTGTTCATCAGATAATGGGGGTTAGCATGTTTCCATACTTAATGGGTTTTGTGTGAATGTGTGCCCTATGTTTGTTTAAACAAATATCAAAATGAAATAAGTTATTTTATGAGATTGGTGAAGTACTAGAGAAAGAGGCCCATTATAGATTTTCAAATTAAATATCTGTTACATAAACATTTTTCAACACTTACTACAATTAAGTATGCAAAATTAGTGGACAATTTAATTTTAAGTGTTAAAGATATTTTGAAATAATTTTTGATCTAAGTGTGTTTTTTTTTTTTTTAGAGAGAGAGAGAGAGAGAGAGAGAGAGAGAGAATTTTTTAATATTTATTTTTTAGTTTTCGGCAGACACAACATCTTTATTTGTATGTGGTGCTGAGGATCGAACCCATGCCAGGCGAGCGCCCTACTACTTGAGCCACATCCCCAGCCCCAAGTGTGTTTTTAATATTGTAAAGTTGCTTTAGGAAATATATTCTCAGTTTTCTTTTTTGGTATGTTATACCATTGTCATATATATATATATATATATATATATATATATATATATATACTAGAAAATATTGAATGGTATTGTGATTTTCTTCTCATTAATTTCCCAACAAATTAAAGAATTTCATAAAAGTGACTGCATTTCTCTGGTGTTTAAAATCATTTGTTTTAGTTTTTAATTACTTGGTGTGTTTCATATATTTCTGTACCTTTTATGAAGTTTACTAAAAGTCATTTATTTATGGTTTCAAGCTGTTTTAATCATGAACTTGTACTTCTCCAGTTTTTATAAACTGTAACTACCTTGTAAGTAGAAGAGTCTTATTTACATATTTTGTTTTCATTTTCCTCTGGCACATTAATATAGAATATTTAGATGAAGAATGTACATAATTGTGTGGAACCATGATATGCACATAGTTGTGTGGAACCATGATAAAGGTTTTTAAAATTTACTTATTCTAAAAGGTAAAATTTTAATTAACTAATTAACAAAGTAATTAAAGCAAGAAACAAAAAGTTTAGAACTAACTTAGGGAACTTTAAAATATATTTTTCCACTAAATTCATAGCTGATAGTATCTAAGATGTATCTCTCCCCACATATATTAAGGCATTAGTCTAAGTTATATTTGAGTGTGAGAAAGAAATAAAAGACACTATGGTAGCGATAAAAAAAATCTTGAATTAAGGCACCAATTTGTACATGTGGAGGAAAAATATCACCTTGATATATCTTATTGAGTGTTTCACTATTGTCTTTCTCCTCTCATATGTTTTTATCTCCTTTTTAAAAAATAATCTGGTAGCTCTGTGTCCTACCATGGAGAATCACACTAAAGCAGGATAACAGTTATATGTCTTTTCTGACTTTTCCTGCTGCCTCATAACCCGAGCTTTTTAACTGCATCATTAACCTAAAGGAAAAGATCATGTGTCTTTTCTAAATATATGTTCTGTATTATATGAGAAAGTCTAGAAATTTTCCACACTTTTCTATTTCTACCAAAGGTCCAGTAAGTACCTTTCAGTTGAATAAATATATAATCCACTATATAAATAAATAATCCAGTCTTCTTTCTCTCTTTCCTCTGTCCCTTCCATGCTTTCTTTTCCAGATTATTAGTTTATTAAATGTCTTCACACCCCAGAAAACGCTGGAGGAGTTCCAAGATGTGTAAGTAACAAAACTTATTAAGGAAGGGCAAAAAAAGCACTCCAATCATTAGGAAAAATGAGAGAAAGAGAGAGAGATATGAAATCTGTTGTAGAGATTAAAGGGAGGTGAGAGTCGGGATCAAATGAAATGTCCAAGTGAAAAGATAAAATCAGATTCTGTCTGTGCTGTTACTTCTTGAAAGATCTTTCTAGTGTATGGCTCTGTGTGCTTTATGCTTCATTGTTCTATGTTCTTGGTTCAATGAGGAAAGGCTTATTTATTTACTATTAATTGATTCTGTGAGCTTCCTAGGATGATTCAATTTATATTATTAATATTTCTATTTTAATAAAAGATCCTTATTCTTTATTTCTATTTTTGTGGTGCCTTTGATTTTATTCAAAAATTAATCTATTTAGAACTATAGCAACAATAAAGAGGAAAGGAAGTCATTCCCTACGCATTGTCTACTTTAACACACCTACATGGATTTACTGGAAGCACTTGTCCTGAAATTTTTTTTCTTATTTGTAATCATAATATTCAGGAAAGAGTTAAAGAAATACAGGGAAAAGAGAGAGCAAGATAAAAGTAGAATAAATTTGGGCATTAACTACACACTAATAGATGATGTTTCTATTAGTAACCTTCTATTAGAGTTACTACAGCTAAGACTCATGCAATACTGGAAACTTTTTCATATTCTTGCTTCAGTCAAAGGAAGAATTAGGACATTCAGAAAACTTACAGATTTAGTACAGGATTCTAATGTGACTAAAGGACTTTATAGATCTTGTGATTAGAACCAACCTTATGGATTTACCTTCTAGTTACTTAGTAATGGAACTGATGGATGCCAACTTGTGTCAGGTGATTCAGATGGAATTAGACCATGAGCGAATGTCTTACCTGCTATACCAAATGTTGTGTGGCATCAAGCATCTCCACTCTGCTGGGATTATTCACAGGGTAAGAATACCTTCTCTAAAGTCATAGTTAAGAGACATTTGAAAAGAAAAGAAACTTGGAGATTATTTTCTTTATGTTGTATTTGGTCAAATATAGTGTATTTGTACACTCCTTTATTAGTAGAATTAACACGTAGTTCACTAATATGTAGAAGACACTTGTACTGAGGTCAAATTTTATTTTGTCAGCTCATTGATAGTCAGCTCCTGATAGGCCTTATGCCTTCTAGCTCTTTGATTGACAGAGGTCATATGTGTAGCTGAAATAAGACAGTTCATTTCCATAGTTCATTTCTGGAAGCATAAAATCAGTTATCCTGATTTGTTCCTGTTGGGCCTAGAAATGAAATATATACCAAAAGTTTTAGGTTGCCTGGAGGAAAAACCTAAGAGATGACAATAAATGATATGCTTTTTTCCCCCTAAAACTTCTTCCCAGGATAAGCTTAAATTGTAAAAATGATAATACAGTTCTCTTTGGGATTTAAACAATTTTAAAGAACATCTGAGGACAGTTTTTAAAATCCAGAACTAATTGTGAACTTCTGTGTAACAGTAACATATGCCTTTTAGAGGGCTCTGCAGTCAAGAAGGACCCTCTTAGTGCAGTTGTAACACTGCCATGTTGATGGAGTAGGTGAAAATTACAAGTTCTATTGGATGCTGGCTTTTAATTTCTTCCCTTGTTCCTATTGTCAGGATTTAAAACCAAGTAACATTGTAGTCAAGTCTGATTGCACATTGAAAATCCTTGACTTTGGACTGGCCAGGACAGCAGGCACAAGCTTCATGATGACCCCTTATGTGGTGACACGTTATTACAGAGCCCCTGAGGTCATCCTGGGAATGGGCTACAAGGAGAACGGTAGGGATGCTTTTCAACTGTGAAGAAAATGGGTGCATGCTTTGGATAGCCAGGAATATGAATTCTTCAAAAATAGAACTGCCAGCTTTCATATTCAGAGCTTACTTTTTAAAAAATTACTACTAGGAAGAATCACTCATTACAAATGTGAAGGATGCTTTGATAGAAGATCACTGAAGTGTTAGAGCTAAAAAGAATTATAAATGGAGTCCGATTAAACAATCAAATGAATACTGATTAGCATGCATGCTATAGATATTGAGAAAAATTGCTATTTGTGTTGATGCTAGGTTCAGACTGAATGTGAAAACAGGAAGAATGCTATTTAATTTTACTATTTGGCTTTTGTGTCATATCTTAGATTCATGATTCCAGTCCTAGGCAAAGATCAACAAAAAGATCCTTGCAGTGAGATTCTTCATAAGCACTAAATAGTCAAGTTGGAATAATCCACACACATTATTCAAGTTGGATAACAGTTTCTTAAACACTTTAAAATGCTCTGTAATTAATTTTATGATAGCAGTTGCGTAGTAAATTTTTTATAAATCCCAGATATCACAGAAAGGAAAATATTAAATTTTATAGTACTAACCAGGTGGAGCAGCACAGCTCCCCTGGAGGCTGAGGAAGAAGGACTGCAAATTTGAGGCCAACATTAGCAATTCAGTGAGACCTTATCACACAGTAAAATATATAAAGGGCTGGGGTGCAGCTCAGTGGTAGAGTGCTCCTGGATTTAATCTCTAGTACCACAAACACATACACAAAATACATTACCATTGGGCTTGGGATGTAGCTCAGCTGGTAGAGTGCTTGCTTTGCATGCACAAGGCCCTGGGCTCAATCCCCAGTATCACACACACACACACACATACAAAGTACATTACCATTTTCATGAAAAACATCTAGTATACATGAACACTTTAAGTTTATATAAAGACTAAAGTATATTCAAGTTGGATTTTCATTGACTAAAATTAAGGATGTATAAAATACCTGTTATAAGGCCTTGTGATATATTATTTTGATGAGAATATCTGTTTCAAGGAATAGCTTATTAAAATATATTTACTAAAAAATTAAAATAGCTTAAATTTAGGTTTGTATATATACGTACTCAATGTGCCTTTTATACCTGTTTTTATATTCTACTCTATTTTCTTCCCAGAAGTCTATTTTTATGAATATTATATGAATAATTATTGTATTTTTATGTACAGGTGCTACAGGGCACTTTTAGGAAACTCCCTGGACATGGAAGTTTTAAAAAAAACTTTGTGTGCCTTCAGATTAGAAGAAAGTCAATGCTGTTATGCATTTTTACAGAAGGTGAAAAGTCAGCTCTTAAGAAGGTCAGGCTCACTGTGGTGGCCAGTGTCAGAGTTCTGGTACCTTTTGACTCAGAAGAGGTGAATGGAGCCTCTCCCAAGGAACTCTGTCACATACGATTGTCACAATTTATTTTTTAAAACTTGAAGGGGGAACCAATTAAAGGAAACTTAAGAACCAAGGGCTATTGCTAACAATAATTCATATATTTCAAAATAGCTAAAAGAGGATTTTGAGTATTCCTAACACAAAGAATTGATAAGTGTTTGAGGTGATGGATATGCTAATTACCCTGATTTTATCAGTACACATTATATACATGTATCAAATATTACATCATATCATACCCTGCCTCATAAATATGAGTAAATAATATGTGTCATAAAAAATTAAGAATGTATAGGGGGGTTGGGGTCTAAAATTTGCCTGTTGTGGCTTTTCAGATCTTTGCCATGCAGACAATTGGTATTCAACCCCTTTTCCTTTGCTCACTAGAAAGGGCTGAAAATTATTGCCTTTGTTTTTTGGCTTCCTTAGGAGCATGGAGAAGGTGTTCCTTGTACCTTTGGGCTGTCTTCCCTCTGAGCAGAGGAAGGTTATCATGCAGAAAAACCTGCTTGCTCCCGCATCAGGCATGCCTAGCTGTCCTGTGCACCTTACCCTGCCTTCCTTCCCCACCGAGCAATTCAGCATAATGTTTTTGCCCCAAAATTTCCTTTGTCCTTAATAAAAGGCGAGTTGGAAGAGTGTTAAGGTTGGTAAGAGAAGGCTAACTGTGAAGTATGTTCAGCTAACAAAACAAGTAGGACGACTGGCAAATTTATGGTCTCAGCAAATTTTAACACCATTAATACCTTTAATTTCACTTTACTTCTAGATGACTCTTCATACACATGTATTCATCAGATATTATTTTTCTTAAAACATTTCAAATAGAAATTAAAACTGATATTTATTTTGAATGATAATTTCTGGAGGAAAACAACTGTCTCAACTAGCAAGAAATTCCAATTCTACTACCTGTAAAGTATGGTTCCAACCATTTCCTAGTTTGTTGAATTTCGTTGAATTATTATTTTGAACCCAAACCATATAACTGGGTAGAATAGGAAAGGGAAACAGCCATCCTTACAGGTTGATTTTTTTTTTCCATCCAACAAATGATATTCAAACCCTCTTGCTGACTGTGAGCTGTCATCTGCCATGGAGAACTTTTGGTTTAGCTTTGTGCCAGTAAGAGGCATTCTTGGGCATTCATAAAGTAATTTTTAAAACTAATTTGAGTTCTTGTACTAGACGCTTTATATAATCGTGTAGTGCTGTTTTTAGTTCACCCTTTGGTCAGCTTTTGGCAGGAGGTGAAATTTGTACCTTCTAATCAAACTGTTCTTTTTCCTCTTCCTTCAGAGGTCAATTATCTTAGTTAACTTTACTTTCCTCCCTTTTCTTCACTTCCCTCTCTCTCCTGTTCTAGTGGATATATGGTCTGTGGGATGCATTATGGGAGAAATGGTTCGCCACAAAATCCTCTTTCCAGGAAGGGACTGTATCCTTGTACCTTTTGCTGCAGCTTTACCTGTTTTGTTTTCTCTCCCTTTAAACACGTAATGATTTTACCAGGCGAGTAAAGATAGAAGCAAAAAGTTGGGTAAGTGGTGTAATCGTAATTTTAAAAAAGTGATAATTTCTATAATCTGACCAGTCCTGTAAACTATCTACCACAATGATTTATTTTAATTAAATTTTCAATAAGCTTTTTTCTTCTTAAATTACTTCCTTGCCTGCAATTCAATACAGCAATGCTATTTTTTCTATAAATAAGAGATGCCACCAGATCCAAATGATTAAAATATAGCTACTTATAATTAGCAAAAAACCTCACTATTTGCAAGTAATTTTTTATCTCCCTTCTAAAATTATTTTATACTTAGACATAATGATTTCTCTCCTTGCTGACATCCTGAGCTTCTGTATTTGGCTTTATTGATTTGAATTACTCTTGACACTGTATCCAGTCTTAAAATAGGTCAATATAGCATATCTGCCTCAAAACACGAGCTTCTATATTTAAAAAATCACAATTATTATTCAGATTGTCAGAGGTCAAGTATGTGTAAAATAGGCTCCTCTCACTTAACTTGATGATGTGACATAAAAATAGATAATTGCTTTACCCACCAAATTTGGAATTTTACAAAGAAGTGGGAATTTGAATTCTATCACTGGGTCTTGTAGTACTTTCCACCAGAAATTTCTTAGGAGATTTCTGTGAGCTGAAATTACTAATTCAGCAGGCATGTATCTTAAACTACCAAAAGTTCACTCGAAAAATGTTACACATTGTGTATATAATATATGAATAATAAAATTTACATACTAGCAGGAGAATATACTTTCATAAATGCAAAAATACCTTGATAAAGAACACTAGTGTAAATCTAAGACAGTGATAATGGACAAATTTTAACAATCATAATGCAGGGCAAATTCATTATATTTACTACATATATATTTTTGTGTAAATTAATGATAAGAAAAGTGGGCCATATAACTCTGGCAATCATTCAATTTGATTCAGAAAGTTCTATAAAGGAATATTTTTATATAAGAAAAACATTATCATTATTTCAGTAGAAAAAAAGAGCAATAATACAAAAAAAACCCAAAAACCTAACTCAATGGGAAGTTGTTATCACAATCAGCATGCATGAATATACATCAATGCATTTATTAATTCTGCTAGACATTGGTGTAATATAATGATCTTCTAGCCCTTTACTGTCCAATAGAGGGCCACTAACTACAGATTGCTGATACAACACTTGAAATTGTAGTCTGAATTGACATATGTTATATGTATAAAAAGTACACCACTTTTAAGATATAAAAAACATATAAAACATCTCATTAATAATTTTATACTGATTGGATTAAAATGATAATATTTTGATCATATTAGGCTAAATAACATACATTGTTAAAATTACCTTCATTTAGCCAGGCACAGTGGTGCACACCTGTAATCCCAGCGACCTGGGAGTCAGAGTTAGGAGGATTATAAATTCAAAGCCAGCCTCAGAGATTTAGTGAGGCACTTAGTAATTCAGCAAGACCCTGTCTCTAAATAAAATGCAAAGGAGAGCTGGGGATGTGGTCCAGTGTTTAAGTGCCCCTGGGTTCAATCCCCAACACAAAAATAAATAAATAAATAATAAATTAACTACATTCGTTTCTCCCTAATCTTTTAAATGTGAATATTAATAAACTTAAAGTAGCTATGTGCTTAAATTTGTGACTTATTTTTTGTTTTTGGTTTTTCCTCTCATATAGAATTGGTCTAGAACACAAGATAACCACCTGGCAGCCTTTTATTTATAATCAATCTTATTCTTAAATCATCATTTGCTTCATGTTTCTTTATAGTGTAAAGTATCATTTCACACACATCAAATTTCACATGACTACTTTGAAAATTCATTTTATTTGATTTATTTATAGTTTGGAAATCCATTATATACAGTTGATTTGCACAATATTACAATCTACAGACACATTTATATGAACCAATCTTATTCAAAATTAGAAATCATTTTCTTTGTGCTTTTGCCTTTGGAGTGTATACATTTCAAAAACCCAAATAGAAAAAAAACCTTTCCATCAACACTCAGTGAAGTCACACAGCCACCTCTCTATAGTTCACTTGTGAGTGGGAGACAAAAGCCTCAGGATTTTTCATTTTCATGTGACATTGCTGTCACAGATCACTGGATTTTCACACAGCCAGGTTGTTCTCTGGGATTTAGTTTAGTTCCCTAGGCATTTATCAAGGTTGCTTTGCTCTTATTTCCACAATTTAAATTCAGAAAATAATAAAATTAGGATAAAAAAGAGTTTTTAACACAAAATAACCCTTCTGAAAAACCAACAAAGACAATGGCACAATTCAAAATACTTTATTCTATCAATTTTTCTTCTTTTAGAGCCTCCATTCTTTCAGAGCTTCCTTTCTTTCCTTTTATTCTAGTTTGTTTACGAAAAATATTTGGAACTGAAATGATACTGTGCAAAAACCAATATATAAAATTTACATCCTGGATAGGCATGTTCCTCGAATTTAATCTCTAATCCAAAAAATATAGATTGTGAGAAGGGTTTGCATTCCATATTCCTTTATGTCAAGTCATGATTACCTAGCATATTGGTCTTTGATTGCCTCCTGCCATATATGATAATGATCCTTCAAGCAGACCTAATTTAAAGATGGAAATTACAGGAAGACATTGACAGTAGAAAACATTCCATTTAATTTAAATTTTACTTCAATATGGATAACTAATTTTCAATAAAGTGATTTAGAAGAAATACTGTCAGTTTGAAATGTTTCCCTTTGGATTTAAACCCTTAGATCATTTTTTCCTGTAGTTAAAATTATAATTTAATGTTTTAAGCCATGATAGCATTTAAAAAATGGAAATCCCTATTAAACAATGAAATAATATGCTTTGTTCACTTTGAGTAGAATTGTTTCATTCATCTTTAGAAGGAATTATTATTTTATGTGTAAGACTTCCTACCAAATGTAGAGAAATCAGGTGATTGAACTAACCTCACCAAACCATGACATTAGGACACAAGGACAGGGTTATTTTTATTATTGGGAGAAGAAATATGCCAACAGTTTAGCATCTTGAAATAATTCCAACATTTATTGGCAGTCATATCAATGTTTAGTATGTGTTAATTGATACCTTGACTACTTCAAAGATTTTGCAGACGTAAGAAAATCATAGGTTCTCTTGACTTTATTTAAAATTATTAAAATACTTTAAAATTATGAATTCTTTAATATTGATAGTAAATTGAATTACTCTGAGACTAAAAAATTATGTGATAATTCTCTACCATCATAGTCAATCTTATTCCTCTCTCTTCACATAACTTTTTTAAATCTAAACTGTAAGCAAAAATCCTAAAACACTTTGACAAATCAGGAAATTTTATTAAGTTGTCATCAGTGATTGAAACTTTTAACTTAAAACTATCTTTGCAACTTGAGAAACATTGTGGGGATTTCTTGGTGATTAATATGATCTAGCTGATACCACTGGGTAGTTTATTGATTACTAAATCATAGCATTGGCAAACAAAATTTAAAAATAAAAACACACATTTTCTTTTCCAGCCTTTAGTTTACTAATTATTTTAAAATCCAAAGGAACATTTCTAAAATATTTTTGTTATGTAATGAGTTGTATAATTGTATACACACTCTTATACACTAAATTTTCACTATAGTCTTATGATGAAAACATATTTCATAGCATATGTGTTGGCATAATATGGTATGTAGTACTACTAAAAATTCTTAGATCCATGCTGAATTTCAAGTAGACAGCAATAAATATGCCAGCTCCACTTTTTCACTAAGATTTTGTTCCTTCCAATAATAATTTATAGTATAGCAGCTTCATGTTGCTTTCTTACAAGTTTTTTTTCTAAAGATTGTGGCAGCCACTTCCTCCCTCCACCCATCCTAGATGTCATGCTGTTTTCCTGACTACCTAAGACTCCCTTAGCACCATTTTACTTTTCATGAGCTCTTTCCTTTAATTGCTTCTTTCAGACACAGTCTTTCCACCTTATTTTTTACATTCTATTTCAAAAGGCAGGAACTCTTGGAGCAAGCCCTGTGGGTGTTCCTTTATCTAGAGTTCTTGGCCAGAGTTCTCTGGACCTGGGTGATGTTCAAGACAGGCACATGGTACTTATTTAAAAATTTCAGATCTCCAGTGTATTATCTCCAATTAAAGCTGACAGTTGGACTGCTAAAACATTCCCTCTGGCCTTTCCCTCTACATGCACAAGAAATTTCAATTAGAGTAAAAAAGTTAAATATGCATCATTGCCAGAGAACCAAGGTATTATGGAATAGGAAAATGGCTTGCCAAAAATATACTTGAAGACATAAAGAATACACCTTCAAATTAACTGGATGGCACATCTTTTAAATTTTTTGAATATGAGAATTAGGAATGGTAAAAGTAAAATGAGAAAATTTAAAAGTTATGAATTTTTACATCTAGTGCAGTGATATTTATTACTCCTTTTTAACTCTTTGAAATAGCGGTGCTTATTTCCTAATAAACTTTTTAACTAATACATTGCTACAAAGTCTAAGTCTGTTCCTTAATCTTAAGACAATACAGAATTATCTCAAACAATGAGAGATTTGTGGCTTTAAGAAACTCAATATGCAAAATTTCTGTAGTCATTGTTTCACTCCATAAATATATTGCAGGTAATCATGAACATATTTTTAAAATGAGATTATAAATTCATTATTTGTATTTGTTTAAAAGGATTTTGTTTTCACCATTAGCGTACATACTACTTTTTCATTTTTAGTGAAAATATGTGTGAGACAGGATTGTCTAAATGAGAGCTGGATATTCTGAGCTTATTATAAAGAAAGAAAAGCAATTTTAATAAGTAAATTCAAGGAAAATATCTTTCCCTGATTTCCTAGCACTGTGTTTCATGAATTGC